ATTCCAAAAAAAAGCACCGTACACCAAGACTGTGTGCAAAAATCCCAGTGGGATGCAAGTCAAACAACAACCACAAGACAATTTAGATTAAGGCCATCAGTCTAACTCCGTAATACAACAAACAAGCATGGCCAAACCAAAAAAGTTTTCGAAATCACAAAAATAAAACCATAAAAGGAATGCAACAGTGATCATAGGAACTGTGACCGAAATTTCACAATAAACGACATAAACAACATGTACCACCAAACCCTAGAGCCATAGCTGGCTGCATGAGTTACTCCACAACAGCAGGAGCATCAGTCGGAGTATCAAATGTTTCAATACACCTTTAAGATCAGCACGCTAAATCAAAATACAGATAATACTTTGCAGCGGTCATCCAGAGCGAAACATTTTATTTTATTTTAGGCCACTGAATGGCAGTGGCAGCTAGGGGTGTACAACTCCTCTAGAGCAGTTTTGAGTGAAGATCTCATAAGTAGTGATTCAAGTTGCAGTTTATTGGCGATAGCATTCCAGACCCTGGGGGCATCAATAGCAAAGGCCCTTCCTCCAGTTTTTGTACGGCAATAGGGAATGTGAAGCTGGTAAATGAGTGAAGACCTGAGGTAAAATTTGTTCTTTGAAACAGAGAGGAGATCCAGCAGGTAGTCTACATATGTTTTTGTAAGTACATCGTGAATAAATAAGATCTGGTGCACAAGCCGTCGAACATTAAGAGATGTTAAGTTTGACCCAATGTAGAGATCACAGTGGTGAGTCCTATATGGGCAGTTCAATGTAAATCTTAAGGCCGAGTGATAGATGGAATCAAGCTTCTTCAGTACAGTACTTGGGGCTGATTTATACACGATGTCACATTATATTCTTGTTCTTTCGGTAAAGTCACGTTGAAGGGAAACAATAAAATAATAATATATATAAAACAATAAAAATTCTCACGACGTTTCGACCATAACACAAACGGTCGTCATCAGGTGTGTCGGTTTGCACCTGATGACGACCGTTTGTGTTATGGTCGAAACGTCGTGAGAATTTTTATTGTTTTATATATATTTTATTATTTTATTGTTTCCCTTCAACGTGACTTTACCGAAAGAACTAACAATATGAATTACTGCAGTCACAAAAGCTTTAAATCAAGATGTCACATTAGTCAAGTAGAGGCAGTATGGTAGCTTTTATCAATTCCAAACGGAACATAGTTGCGTCGAACTTATACGCTTAGTTAAAGTATATATAAAAAAAACCCGCAATGAATGGAATTTTATATCCAGTATAAAAAACACAAAATTGTATTGACCGTCAACAACAACAAACAACGTGACGTCACCGCGCGACGTCACTTCACCAATAAACACAGCGCGAGAGAAAAAAAAACTACACCCCTCGACGGGGGGGGGCGGCAACGTCATCGTCATATATATATTTTTTAACATTGACGTCATGTCACTTGAGGTGGTGGTGTTATCCGGCGCTCCTCCACATCATCCTACTCCTGCCGGCTCCTGCTCTCAGGCCTTGTAAGTAACGAACCGCACCGCCAAGGTCAAAACGCCACGAACCCGTGCCATCCTTCGCGTCTCTTGATTTTTTTAATCGCTCCAACTCGTCGTACAATCGCCGAAAGATGCACGCGTTGATTAGAATTAAAAAAAACTAAATTAAATTCCCCGTTTCGCTTCCGCTTTGGGCGCGGCCCCCTCCGTTGTTCGCTGCTTCCCACCGCCCACCCATTGTGCGGGGTGGGCGGCGGCGGGTTTAGGAAAATGGGCAGGCAACAGCCGCGGCCTTGCTTGAATTGTTGTATGTGGTTATTTTAAGGGACGATTAAGCCGCTGGCGCGTCGCGCTGCGTCGTAAGTGTGTGGCGATAACAACAATAACGACGACAACGGTACCGCCGTATCTCGCCGAGGCCGTGTGAAGTTACTCGTCGTGTGTGTGTGTGACGGTGTTAATGCGACTGCCAACTCCTTAGAAAATTTGCCGGACATTGTTCATATGTATAGTCACGTTGATATTTACTTACGACATTTGTATATTGCTTACATTACATTACACACATATTGGGTATACAAACAAATATATTACGTTTTAGAGAATTAAATGGGGGGGGGGGTCCCACGACATCTGGACCACACTGTAACAAAGTACTGGACATGGTGAGGGTGGGGCAGCCCTTACTGTGACGTCATCCAAGTGTCATTTTGTTGGATCGTGGTGGTGGTGGTGGTCACAGCTGATTGTCAGAACCGAATTCCACAAGTCGGTATAATCAAGGTCAAGATGACACACACTTGTACCACGCTTACCACCACCCCTCACTCGCCTATCGTAACCGGCGGTGGTAAGTCTAGAGCTGACACTGCTGCCCCGTACTCGGGGCAAGATAACTGGGCTTGGGTACTGTTCGTCCTTAACCCCAACCCGAAACCATAACCCCAACCTCTTGAAACCCTAACCCCCCTAAACATGAATCCTTAAATCCCAAGTCATGAACCCCAAATCTTCAATAATATCCGTAAAGGTACACCCTCAAACCAAGCCTCAACTGAAACTCCAACCCCCAATTAAACTGCTTAACTGTACAGGAAAACTTAAAATCTAGATTGTACAGGAACTTCAGTAAATTGAATGTTTTATATATTTTTATTCATCTGTGGCACATTTCTGCCATAGATATGCCATCCAAGGCGCTAGCATCAACTCAAACATCAGGAAGTGATTGAATCAAAATCTGGTCTATGATTGTATTAAAATAAACATATCCATGGACAGTAGTTGCACTTCCAGTTCCACATTTTGTTATCAGCGTTAAAACTCCTCTAACCAACCATGAGTGAACGTGTTTCTGCCTACCCTGGTACTAATTTTATCGACCCTGCAGGCAAATTGCCATATGGGAGAACCTCGGAGCCAAAAGGCAATGTTAAGTTTCCCATAATCGCAAAAATAGCCTTGGGCTTTGCATACCCTCCATCGGCAGTCCTGACTGATTCAGTGGTGGAAATTCGACTTCTATGTCAGGGCGTGAAGTATAGTGTAACAACCACCATGACCCGCGCACATCATGAGACCATCCATCGGTCACAAAGTGATTGACAAAATGTCGTATGTTACTTATTGTTATCACACAAAGTTTGTGCTTAACACATCTGTTATTGACCTCCCAATCCAGTGGTGCAGCCTCACCATATATGGTGGTTCTTGTTCCATCCCTGGATGATGGTGGTGACGATGGTTCCTATTACGGTGCTGATAGTGATGATTGATTGGGTATTCCACCCTTGGTGAGTTATGTGCATTGCCTTGTTACTGTTGGGACCCTGCTGTGTTGACAGCTGAGTTTTATCATAATTGATATGGGAATTCTACACCAACAGACACACCATTCATTATAGTAATAGGTTTTACCCTTTGAACTGGCACAAAAACTGACACCTTTATTCAAGGCATCATGTTTGCAATAACCACAACACAAGCAGTCAAAATGCAAACAAAAGAGACAACTCTGATAATAATATGCACTGTCCTTGAATTTGATTGGTCCACACCCGAGACGGCTTTTCTTAGAGCCCAGTCTCCACTGGTGTTGGACCAGAAGACGCCAAAAGGCGTACAACTCAAAAACAGCGCACTCTCAGAGTATTGAGGGCTCGGGGTGAGCATTTACATTATGAGACCTCCTTTGCCAGTAACAAGATATAGTAATAGGTTTTACCCTTTTAACTGGCATTCATTCCTACCGTTAACACATCGAGGGGAATTATGTTTTTCTGAAGAGGAATGTTTATTTCATGTAATGGCAAGTTGGTGTATAAAAGCAACTCCCTGTTACAAAATGCGTGTTTACTGAAATGTATTATATCCTACATAGACATGTTACAGCCCATTGTGAAATACGTTAAGATTTGTAGGTAATAAAAACGTAAGAATTGTTTAAATCCCACTGCTGGATGATGGCCTCCCCATGCCCTGTGGTTGTGGGAGATGTTTGATTTTACTTCGCCATGCTGATCAGCGTGGGTTCGCGAAGAAAACCCTGCAGAGTTTGTCAACAAATTTTCGAGAATGTGTGTGTTCTTATGTTCGCTGGAAGTTAACATCAAGTTACTGGACACTGGATCTCTTACGAGCGCATAATGGCATCGAACTTGCGAAATAGGAAGTAAAAGCGTGTTACTTCATCGCAGGCAACCACACCTCGGTAAATCCCCCACCGGGAAATTAGAGGGTACGGCTGCGTGCATGAAAAACCATCGAGTTGGGCAAACTGACTCCGGGCCTAATCACCGGGTGGCCCAGAAGTCTAAATGCACGGTAATTACCAATACGTATCGTCATATAGCCATAGTCGGCCATGTACACGCATGTTTCGTACGGTTTTTGGTGTATGTGATTGGCAGATTAAAACACGTTTGTGAGATAATTATCACGGTGCAATATTTGGTGATATTTTTTGTTTTTTTAAATGTGTTCCAAAGAGCGAATTTGTTATTTTAAAGGTTCAGTTTTGAGACGGCACAACTACCTCTGTTTTCCTAGACTGTATTTACCCCATTTTCCTTTGCGTATTAGCCTTGTAGATGTACGTGGCATTTGGTATGATTTAGCATCTCATTTAGTTGCCAAATCCCGTACCGTGCATTTGTATGCATATAACATACATCTGAATGATTTTTGCATTGTTTTCTCGGACAATTGTTACAAATTAAACCAGCATTGTGGAAAATTGAATCGTGAGTTATTCAGCGCCTTTTATTTTCGCTGAATTACCCAACTAGGTGTTGCATTTTTGGGGAGGTAAAATTTGCAGCAATGCATCGTACAAATACTGTACGTTTATTTTAGAATTTCCCGTTACAGTGCTTATCGCTCTGCCAGCACGTGGTTGCTGTTTTGTGGGCAGCAGCTGTAGGATGCTAGGCATTTTGTTGAACTCCCCCCCCCCCCCCCCTTCTGTGACTGCAAACCCTCATTAGTGTTGCCAAGGGATACAATGGATTGTCGAGAACAGAATGTACTCCGTATTTCCCCCAAAGGATTTCAGCTTTTATATCACCATCTCCCACCACGGACAATACACATGTTTATTAGCCTTCTGAATGCTGCTCTGTACCTATACGCTACTTAATAATATCTCTGCGTAGTAGGGCCATGGTCAGATTTCATGCAGAAAATACCGTTGTGTCGAGGCCTGCTTGTTTTGCGTATATTTATGATGCACTTGGCTAATGCCATGTTTAGCCATGTATATGTTGCATTTTACAATTATTTAAGTTCCACAGTATTTATATTAGATAGTCGGTACACTGTGGTATTTAATAGTTAATTGCGCAATCGCCTAAATTTGTATTTATTTAAATATCTTCAATAGGGTTCCCACAAGGAACCGCATCCTTTGCGTATTGTAATCGTTGCCAATGTATACTTACCCTTTTGCTACGGCAGTCAGTTCTGCACACATGTCAATTAGCTTCGCTATTGCAAAAACATAGCCCGCTGAAGCATATTGTTGCTTTTCTGCAAGCGAACCAAATTATATTTTTCGATTAAAATGTTGTGGTCGTTTTACAAAATGAAGGCGAATACTAATGGAATTTTGTCATTAGGTTTCCGTTCATGTTAAACCGCAATCCACTAATCCCTATTTTCTGGTAAAAACTACGACTTGTAATGACATGTTTTCAGTATTATATAATCCTTAGCAACTGCTTCAAACAGGGGGCGATAGGAATTGCTTTGAATGTCAAAGAGAATGACCCTGTAAAAACAATCTTAATTTTGGCAAGCATAATACATTTGCAAGTGTATTTGTGCAAATACACTTTATTAAACATTTATATGTGATAAAACCAAACGTTATCTTGACGTTTTATGTACGTTGTAGCTTTACATGTGTATTTACAACATCCCTGTTATGGAAGGAAATCTGTTTTGGTAACGCGTGCTAAAAATTAGCAATTATTTCAACACTTTTATATCGAGGGGCTTTTTATTTAATATATGATGTGCACATTATTACACCCTTTGCAAATGGGCCACAAATAATAAGTCGCGTGCCCATGAGCTGGCAAGACCTTAACAACACAAATATTGCCAAAAACATTTGTTTTATCAGCGTGACGTGAAATCGATGTTTCACGCATAGCATCGTTTTTTTGTGTTTGTGTGTGTTTAGAGAGAGGATCTCTTGCTGGTCCCTTGTGTTTTTGAGTTGTTTTTCAGTTCTCCTTAAAGGGTAAACCCCCCCCCCCCCCTACAAGTGAGGTCATCCAATAGGGTCGGTAGGGGGGTGGGATGCTTGGGGTCAAGGCGTTGTCACGTGGTCTTTGCCGCATAATTTTTCTCGACGAGCGGTACGCGGTGGTGGGCCGAGGCCGACCAAGTAGGGGGATGTTGTAAGTTCGGCGGCTTCGTCAATGCCGACGTTCTCTCTCTATGTCGTAGTGTGGACTTGAAGGTGGGTTTGCTTGATTCGGTATTAATCTACCGTTTTAATTACGTTGTCAAAAAAACCAACAACAAGGCGGTTATGGTGTGTAATTTTGTTTTCTTGCAAAATCCTGTTGCTGGAATAAAAATGTGTAAATGGGTTTTTTTTCAAAATGTGTTTATGTAATGGTAGAGTGTGCGTTTTTTGTGTTTTGTGAAAACTCAAGCATGTGAAATAAACAACAGTCGTGTTAAAACGGTGCGGAGGTTGGGCGGGGAGGGGTGTCTTGGTACCACCCCCCCCCCCCCACATCTGTGCCAAATCCTATTGGCTGCTCCCGCTGTTGCCAGGGCTCTCGTTAAAACACAGCGCCGCCCGCCTCGAACGCCGCCCAATAGGGAGGCGAGGGAAGGGGAGGAGTGGCGCGAGGCCGGGTTGGGCGTCTCCATTGGGCGGCCGGTGACGGGGGGCGGGGTTTGTGACGTCACGCGGCTGGTTGACGCGTGCGAAGGCAGAGCGGCGGGCTTCGCTTTATTTGACTGCGCTGTTGCCCAGCGCTTACATAACGCCACTGAAGCGAGCGAGGGAGCGAGGAGACAAGAGTTCCTCCTCCCGCCGTACGTTGTTGTTGTTGTTGTTCCTCGGGGCTTCTCCCTAGGCCACCCGCCCCCCACCCCTCGCTTGCCGTTGCTTTGCTGTTGTTCTCTTAGAGGTACACGTTGTGAGAGCAAAATGTCTGGAACGGGCGATGTCTTGTGGTGCGCTTGGGACGGCGTCGGGAACGTTCTAGGCGATGGGGGGGACGTGCGTTGAATTTGTTTTGTGTGTTCGCTTGCAGGGTTTTATTTGCTGCTGTTGTGTCGTCTGGATTTTTGTTACGAGGCGTACGTAACGCAGTAATTGTGTTACGCGAATTAATTATGAACACACTTTTAACCATTAAGGAATTACGTGGTATATAAAAAAAACATGTTCTTGGTCCTTTCGGTTAAAGTCACGTAGAAGGGAAATAAAATTAATAAAAAATAAAATTCTCACGACGTTTCGATTGCAACACAAGCAATCATTCAGGTGTGAAAACCCGCAGCAGGAACATTTTCTTGGTGCGGTTTTCACGCCTGAATTTTATTGTTTTATTTTTATTGTTTCCCTTCTACGTGGTGACTTTACCGAAAGAACCAAGAATATGAATCCCTGCAGTCACGAACGCTTTAAAACGAAACGTAAAAGCATGTTTCCTACGTACATTTGCCTTCGTCCTGGACGTTGGAATCGGAACGTATCGACAAGCAAGTGACCTCACTTGGTTTCAATAACCGATATAATCTTTTAATTGTTTTACTCACGCAATTATCAATGCATTTGGTAAACAATGTCATGCGCCCACTTTAACGAGAAACATTACGCTTGTGATTTAAAGCTTTCGTGACTGCAGGGATTCATATTCTTGGTTCTTTCGGTAAGGTCACCACGTAGAAGGGAAACAATAAACTAATAAAAATATAAAACAATAAAATTCTCACGACGTTTCGACTGCAACACAAGCAATTACCACAACAAGGAAATTTTCTCGTTGTGGTTTTCACACCTGACGATGATTGCTTGTGTTGCAGTCGAAACGTCGTGAGAATTTTTATTGTTTGAAATTTTGTATTCTTTGGTTCTTTCGGTAAAGTCACGTAGAATGAGAATAAAGAACCAAAGAAGATTAATCCTTGCAGTCACGAAAGCTTTAAATCGAAATTTTGTATTTATTGTTTCCTGACTTTACCGAAAGAACCAAGAATATAAACATTACCCTGTTTGTTTCCGCTCAGGCCTCCACCCAACCCCAAGTGACCCGACAGAGCAAAGCGCTTTCTCAGGAAAGTAGGCCCGCGCCTTTTGGGAGGACAGAATGAGCCCGATCCTATCCGAAATGGACAATTACAACATCAACAAGGGGGGCGTCCTACTGGAGCCGTTCGTGCACCAGGTGGGAGGACACACGTGCGTCCTCCGCTTCAACGACGCCACCATCTGCAAGCCGCTCATCAAGCGCGAGCACCAGGTGTACGAGGGCCTGCCCCTCGACATCGCGCGCTTCGTGCCGCAGTACAAAGGTGAGGAGAGGTGTTTAGTTCCCACGGCTCTCCTGAATATTAACGCAGTTTCGTCGTCCGCATCCACTTGCTTGTCTAACCCACCAACCCACCACCATCCTCGCCGCCGCTCCGTACGGATTTCTATGATGTGTCTTCTTAGTCGTCGTCGTGGCTGCTGGTGATGCTGCTGCTGTTGTTTTGTCGTCATGGGGTTTTCCAGTGACCTCGTACCTGCTGGGTCACGTGCGCTAAGAAAACGCCACGGACCACCTTTGCCGAACCGGTTTTCCTTAAGTTATACTGGCGAGAGGTGTGACGGTTTAGGTTTAAAAAAAAAATGTCTCTTTAACATTCGTCACTCGAGCACCGCTCCCTCCCGAAAGCCCTCTGTCTCTCTCTACTCACCCCACCAACACACTCGCCCTGCTCGCAAGGTCCGTGATGCTTGAGTCTTCCCGCGCGATGTGTCTTTCCCAGGCTTAGGTTGACCCCTTCCCAACCTCCCCCAACGCTTTGTGTAAGGCTTTAGAGGCGGCCGGCCCGCGAGTGGCTTTCCTCGCTCGTTAGACGCGACACCACAGCGCCCTGCGGGTGGTGGCAGCGCCACGCGTCGGCTCAGGCTCGCGTCGCCCGCGGCAGCACGGTGCCTGCAGCTTTAGCTGGAGTCTTGCCATGCCTGCTGCTGCTGCTGCTCCAGTAATATTCCATCCCGATCGCAAGCGACCATCGGTACAGATAGAGCGCCGAGTCAATGGTACGAGAACGAAGGACTTTATAACGACGGCGTTGATTTTGATTTTTTTTTTGCGGTCGACGCTTTATTATTTTTGTGATTTTATTGCCTCCACCCCCCCCCCCCCCAAACTTGTGATGTTATATGGATTGTAAATATGATGGTGACGATGTTGCTTGGAATATTTCTTGGTGGTTTTGTGAATAAATGCCGTGAAAAAAAACTTTTTTTGTGCTTGGACAAAAGAAAATAATTAAAAGTGACTGGGATATGAGGCCGATTGCTTATCTGAATGTCCAGTTACTTGATTGTTTGCACATGAACATGCCACTGGGCAGATTTATTTGTTTTGTGTTCACGTTTGTAATTGACAAATTGCTGTAAAAATGCACTTCATCTGGTTTTGAACTATACAGTATTTTACGACTTGTTGCTATGTTGTAACATACTGTACTTGCGATTTGTTTTTTGCAAACGATGCCTGTGTGTGCTCTGCTGTGCAAGTTTCTCATTCGCATCAACGGATTATTTTGGTTGTGGCTAGCACTTTGCACTTGAAAACGGATTTTTTTTCCTTCAAATGTGGTCAATAAAGCAACATGTTGAGCAAACGTCTTTGTCGTTCTTTGAATGGCACATCAGTTTGTTAGACTAACGGAACGCATTTACATGGAAATGTTGCCTATATTTTTTTGCAATGTGCAGATTTGCTGCCTGTGTTCCCATGTGTCACTCTTCGAATTAGGTTATAGCTTCATCGGGATGTGGGGGCGGATCAAAAAAAACCCGCCCTTTACATTTGTTCTCCAAGATGTGACGTTAAAACGGTAAGAGAAGACATTTTTTTTGTTTGCCGAGATCTCATTCGAGCGTCCGGCATTTTTCTCGCTCCACGGCACTCGCTAAATTTACGTCCTCTTCAATTCCCCCCCCCCATAACCCGGGCGCTCGTGAACAGGCATCGTCTCGGTCAGTTTCGAGGAGGACGAGGAAGGAAAGACGAGCCTCATCGCCTACCCGCAGACGGAGGGAGAGGAGGCCTCGGGCGGTCGCTACGAGCGCAAGTACTCGCTCGAGTGCGGGCAGCCCAAGCGCAAGCAGCCGCGCTGGGACAACAACAATTGCAACGGTGGTGGCGCCGCGCCCTCGCCGTCTGGCAACTCCGAACAGCAGCCGCACACCGATGCCGGCAAGCAGAAGTCGTCCTCGGTGGAGAAAAGGAGGTACGTGTGGCGACGAAATCCCCTTAATCTTCGCTCAAGTTGTGGTAGCCGCTGGTGCACGCGTTAGTGGTGGGGGCAACCTGAACAAGAACCTTGGGACTAATGTGTGTTGCACAAGGAATGTTTTGTGTAATGGCCAAGGTAATTACATGAAAGAGGATTTTCTGGAAATATTTTCTTTTAATATTCGTTTAGTTAATTTTAAATTTAATCTGACCGTAATCCTACGTTTGCATATGCAAGTGGTGGAAAAATCTATTTGACACATTCATCATGGGTACAGCTCCCTTTCTCTCGGGGTTTCAAACATTGCGTTCCAAGCCATCCATTGAACAGACACGTGTTTTGCGTGGGCTAGTTTAAACTTAAGGATAGAGTATTGTTTGACATGGGTGTTGTGTGGTTTGGGCTAATGTGTAGGTTTTATTGCAATTCCCATGAAATTTAAATTGCCACACCAGCAATTGCAAAATTAGTCGTTTACCATTACTTTACTTTTTAAAAAGGTGTAGCAGTGGTATAGTGGCCAACTCACTGCAATGAAGTGTATGATCCGAATAAAATTTCAGGCCTGAGCTGACACCAATGGCAAATGGTATTTGAATTGATCCTTGGGCTCCGTTTTACTAACCCACACTGGCTAGCCTGGTGAAGTATGGTCAAACAACCCCTTACGATCGACATGCGAGTGGGGGGGCTTGATCCAACAGGAGATTGACAAAAGGGCTGTGAAATGTATTTTTAAACTTGCAAAAAAAAGTTCCATAGAGAATGTGGGCTATGTATTTTAAAATGTACCTGTTTTTTGATGTTGCTGTGGGCACGCAGGCAGGAGAAGTCTTGTGAGGTTGGTGTGAAGTCGGAGGTGGCGTACTACAAGCGGGACTCGAGCACCGAGAACCTACCAGCAGAGATGCGCGGGAACCCCTGGAGCATGGAGTGCCACCAGCAGCAGCTGCAGCGCATGAAGGACAATTCAAAGCACAAGAACCAATACAGTATCCTTCATAACACTAAACTAATTTTATTTTATGTTCTTGGTTCTTTCGGTGAAGTCACGTAGAAGGGAAACAATAAAATAATAAAAATATAAAACAATACAATTCTCACGACGTTTCGACTGCAATACAAGCAATCATCATCAGGTGTGAAAACCACAGCAAGAAAAATTGAAAAAAGTGGCGGTTATTTTTAACGTTAGCACCACGGAGAGCGATTTGGCAGTTGTTCAGATGGACTCGTCCATCTATGTTCGGAAAAAAGGAGGGGGGAGACGAAAATAATGGATGTGGTCTGAAAGCCACCGTAAGCGTGAACAATCAATTAAGACCCGAAATGGTTTATCAAATCCTTCCAATGATTGCTATGCCAGAATCCATCTTCTCGGTTGAAATTGTCTGTGTTTGTATATGTGGATAGCCTCATGAACGAATCTCTCATGGTAGCCAGATGGCTTGCAGAGAACCTCTGTTTTGGAAAAGTCAATGTCATGTGAGCCTACTGAATCATAACAGTGATCTGCCACGGCCGAGGTGTTGGTCCTACAGTGTTTTAGGTCTGCTTTGTGTTCACGGATGCGGTCCTTGACATGTCGTTTGGTTTCTCCAATGTAACTATTACCACAGAGGCAACTTAGTTTGTAGACGCCAGCTAAGACCCCCACTGAGCTATTATATAGCGCTTTTTTCAAAAGCGGCCTTGCAGCCAAATACTCTAAACGCATGTTGAGTCTAAATGTGTGTCACGTGACTTCTCGCACGGGGAGAACATGCAAAGTCGAAATATACAGGCGTCAGGGTCAGGATCAAACCCACGACCTCCTGTATACTTTGCAAAATAGTTAACATCTCGTAACCGTGGCTCCCCATAGGTCCCCAGTACCCTGCTGCTTCTCAAAAGTCCAGCTCGGTGGTGCGGTGGATGAGCTGATGTGTAAAGGCATTCAACCTTGGTTGATTTGCATTAAAACATTTTTTTATATATATTAAGCGTTTGACCTTAACCAAGCGCTCAAAGGATTCCTTCTACTGGAGAACCTGGTGTCTGCGTACAAGTGGCCATGCATCCTGGACCTTAAGATGGGCACGCGGCAGCACGGTGATGACGCATCCGAGGAGAAGCAGGCGCGGCAGACGCACAAGTGTCAGCAGAGCACATCGGCCGTCCTGGGCGTGCGCGTGTGTGGCATGCAGGTCCGTTGCAAACCGCTCGCGCTCTCAGAATCGTTCACAGTCCTGTTCAGCCTTCCATCAATAAATATTGCTGGAGGAAAAGCTCCCAGTGCCCTGTTGGTCGTGGGGGTTTGTTTGGCCATCTTTCACCATGGTGATCGTTGCAGGTTGGTGAAAGGGCACAGTAGGGGTAACAAAGCCTGGGTCAGATTTCGCTTGTCGTGGATGCTAGCTGTGACTGGGTTCCTAGCAGCACAGTATGTTAACCACTACACATCTGTTTCCCCTTGAAGTTGTACTTACCTCTTAAAGCATTCTCTGAAAAAGTTGTATTTGTTCAATTGGACTTGGGTCAGGAAATGTCTCGGGTTGACTAGCCACTCAAAATGGCACGTAGGCTTGTAAAATCTTGCAAGGGATGATTTTACAAGGATGGGGTATGGCTGATGACGTCTCCGTAGGTTCTCACGAGCCTCCAATGTCATTCCCAAAACTGCGGTTTTGTGAGCCAGTGATGTGATCTTTCACGGATTAACTGAACTTTGGTTACGGGGTGCGTTCGTGGTTTATTGGTGTGTGGGCGTAAAGCGTAGCTGAGAGGTCTTTTATTGGTGAACGTTGACTGGAACGAACCCGTGTCAAAGGTCATTGTTTGAATACAGTCTGTACCTGTGATAACAGCAATCGCTGTTCTTTTCTGATATATTGTCAGATTTATTACTTCACAATGATAGTTCTGTAGTTTTCACCATAATCGGAGATAAGCACGTACGGTTGTTTTGGTTGGATCTGACACTTCCGTGGATGAATGCGTTTCCTTTGCGCAACAGGTGTACAGGGTAGACGCTGCTCAACACATGTTCATGAACAAGTACATCGGGCGCAAGCTGTCTGTGAACGGCTTCAAGGAGACGCTGACCCAGTTCTTCCACAACGGACAGCGCCTGAGGAAGGACCTCCTGGAGCCCGTGCTGCGCAAGCTCTCTGAGCTCAGGGTGGCACTGGAGCGCCAGGACTCGTACCGCTTCTACTCCAGCTCCCTGCTCATCATCTACGAAGGCCAGGAGTGCTGGACGTCGAACTCTGAGGCCAACGATAGCACAGGGGAGGAACCCGGTTGCGACGGCGCAGGCGTGGACGAGGCGGTGAAGGTGGACGTGCGCATGATCGACTTCGCGCACACGACGTGCCAGCAGTTCACCGACGACTCCGTGGCCTACGAGGGGCCGGACTCCGATTACATCTTCGGGCTGCGCAACCTCATCCACATCCTCAAGCAAATCAAGCACGAGCACGAGAACGTGGGCCCCAGCAGCTCGGTGCACGAGGAGGAGAGTGGCGATTGAAGAAGGCGCTCCTCGCCACCGCCCGTGGTTTTTGAAGTGTGAATTGTCGTTGATCCTGACGCACAGGAGAGGAAGGAAAATAAAGCGTTGGCACAGACGGCGCCGTTAACCCTGGTGTTGAGTTGCTCCACCAGCAAAGTAGCAGGGAGTTGTTCTTTAAAACCTGTTGGATGTCGGACCCTTTGCTTTCCGGGTAGACTCGTACAATTTTCAGAGCTGTCACCAGCGGTATATTTATTCGGACAACGCAAGAAACAACAACTTTAGGATAACGTGCGAGGAAGATGCGCAGATGACGTTTGAGAACACTTAGTAAATGGCTCTTATAAACTGTTGACATTGTTGGTTCTTAATTTCAGAATTGTTTCAGAAAGGCATGGACTCGGATGGATGCATTTTATACGTGTTATCAGAAGCAACACTTGACATGAAGGTTGACTGTGCAGGCTGCAAGATGCATGCTGTTCCTGCTTGTTCATTTCTGATGAACAAGTTAAACGGTCACGATTTGGATAATTTTTTCGCATTTCACAATGAAAACTTGAGCTTTAAAGGGTTACATTTTTATCCTGGGAGGTTGAACTCTGCGAGATTACAATGGCATTCTGAGAATGTATATTGCAGTTTATTCCTATATATATCTCAGCCTGAGAGGCATGTTCGTCTTATATAGTGTTACTTAAATTAAGGAGGCTTTTCCGGTCTCGGAAGTGAGGACACTAAAAGGAGGGACCAAAAGTAAAATGTTATTCAAACTAAGCGATGTTGTGTTTACAATGATGTTTTCGATGGAGCGGGCAGTCTCCAGCATTTTTTTGTCGTCGCATCGCAAATGTTTGCACTTCCCTGTTTTCTCGCACACCCGTTAACGTGGAATATAAGCCGCTATATTCCATTTGCATATTTATTTATATAGTGTAATTGGGTGATGTTTGTTGAGGGGGGGGGTGGCTAAGACACAGGTGTCTGACCTTCCGTGATAATTTGGAGTGATCGTATATATTGAAGTTCTCTATATAATAAAGAAAACCGCAGTACGTTTTGTTGCGTGTCTTTTCAACAACCCGTCGCATGCGGTAATCCGTTTTGTTTGGTTTTATTAGAATTGGCTTTAAAAAAGTGCGGCAAATTCGTCATTGAACGAAATCAGATTAAGGCAATATTTAACATTATTCATCTCCATAGAGCAGAGCCGCGACCGATAAAGAACTAGGTCACAAAGCAAACTTGATTTTTTTGGTATTTGCAAGTCAATACAAATGCAATTTTGCTTGGGGGCATTTATGCATCTGTTGTACCAATGTGTATATTGTACAAAGGGCCTTTTATAATTATTTGAAAATTGCCGTTTACGTAACTAGGCGAGGCACATTAATAATCCTTGCAACCAAGACCTTGAACACTACATCAGGACAGTAATGATCTTTTACAATTCGTCATTTGTTTTCCACAGATGCAGCATCGTGCCATTTCCCCTTCACAGTAGATGGATGTTCAAGAACGATTATGATGTGCCAAGGTTACCATTTGATATGGGGCATGCCCTCATCGCCTTTGAGATCTATATAGTGCAGGGGCTTCTGAGAGGGTTGCCACACTTGCTTGTCGCAGGGTCTTCTGGGAAGTGTCATTGAGTCATGGCTGTGTCGCACAGGTTTATGGGAAGCCTGCAATGGTGTTGGGGCTCAGGAGGATTTTGTATTATTCCTACCTGGATTGGGGAGACACCCATTGTCAAGTGGTCGATTTCTTGTTCGGGGTCACTAAAAAAACGTAACTCCTGGCCAGTTATTGTTTTTAATGTTTACCAAGGGAAGATCGCATTAACGATGTTGCTGCTAGTAGCAACATCACAACCTGGAGAAAATAAAAGGAGAGAAGAATGGGCCAATACATTTCTTCTGCTTAAAGGCGTAGCATGCAAGCTGCTTCGTGGTGGTGTTCAGAATCTCTCCGTGGGTCGGTCACGTGGGCAGAACTAAGACAAGCTGTGGAAATGAATATCATCAACCCCGAGATGAATTTCTGTCCATCTTCCGAGATATATAGGCCAATATATATGATACACTGTATACAGCACGTCTTCTATATATTGAACGAGTAACACATTGCATGAGTTGAAATAATTTTGACTCAAAAGGCCGCGACATCAATTACTGATCATGCACACTATATGCATGCAGTATGATTTGTGTTCATCATAATACCTCTGCATCTCAACGCATTCAAAATTATGGGGGTGTATCATAGACGCTTGGAAGAGATGGGTATGTTTAGGTTATTTTTAAAGGAAGAGACCGGATCCATTCCCATTAGTTTTACCTATTGCACTCCCGATCACTTCGAACATAATCATGAGCCATGATTAATCCACTGCTCGATGAAGACCTCAAGCTGTTGGCATTTCTCATGACCTGTGCTGTAACAATCTCCTAGCACCTGCACAGGAGTTGATTTCATCGCTTCATCTGGTGGACATCCTGTCGGAAGTCTTCCATTCCATTGCTGCCCGTTCTCACAGCGTGAAAGTAAAATGTTACAGCGATGATTTTAAGCACTCCTATTATAGGCGTAAATAGAGAAGTGAATGTTTTTAAAAAAGGTGTTTCGAATGTTACGTTTTTAATTGATCGAATCTTACTGATACACGAGTCTAAAGACTGCATGAGATCGTCGGTAAACATCCAGTCGCATGCTGATAACTATTTTCCAGAGGTGGCTGTGGGGAACCAAATTCATTTCAGGGAGGGCGTCTCCGTCTGCCTGGTCCTTACCCGGTGCGTTCAACAACTTGCAACATCGAATGAATGTCTTGCGCAGAGTGGCGGCCGTGGTAAACACATTCCGAGAGCATCGCTGGCACTAAACACGTGCCGTGTCTTCCCTGCCACGCGCACAGTGCCCGTTGACACTGGATCTGGGAATTGAGGCGCAGTTCTGACTTGGCTATTAACCGCTTTAGATCTAGCCCGGTTTAAGGCCCTTTCTGTGAGGTGCCTCGATTGGTGGCTCATAACGGTCAGGTTTCACCAACTCGGATCTCTCTGACGAGGCATGTGAATAACTCACCCCAAAGCGATTGGATGGATTGTCATAATTTTTTTTATATATCTTCAACATCTCGCTTGCATTTACGACTACAATGAGCCAAGAATGTCTGTGTCCCGCGCGTGACGTCACTCCACGTCGACCAGCCCCCCTCACTAATACTCATGAACAGGTGACGTCCTCCACATGGACCCCCCTCCATTCATAATAATTAGCGGGTGACGTCACTCCACATGTAGCACCCCCCCCCCCCCCTCATTGTCAACTGACAACCCTCACTACAAAGGCAGAACCCTCACGTCACGTGATCTCCGTAACGCTGTTGAGACATCAAAGTAAAAAGGACGTCGTGATGAACAAGGGATTATAACCTTTAAATGAAATAGGTCTGTGTCACCGCGCCCTTACAAATTGCACACGAATTGATGCAATGAATATCACGTCGCGCTCTGCTTTTCGCTTGCAAGTTTCAGACTTACTGCAATCACCCGTCCTTGGACGGGCAAAAGGCTAGTTGTTTAAATTTGTTGATAGTTTTGTTCACTTTGCATGCATTGTAAATGCTATATGCTCACGCCCATCCTGAACGTGAGACTGGATTTTAAAAATCTAATCTATGCATGCATTGTTCATCGTGCCTATTTGTCATTTCTACAGTGGTATTTGAGGCGCCACGGTGGCTAGGAGATGTTAACTACCTCGCTTGGTATACAGGAGGTTGTGGGTTCGATCGCGACCCTGACGCCTGCTGTGTGTTTTAAGTTTGCATGATCTCCCCGTGGTCGCGTGGATTTTTCTCCAGGTCCTCCGGTTTTTCCCTTTTTAGAAACATTCGTCGAGAGTATTTTGGCTGCTATAAATTTCCACGTGATACGCCACTTCGTTGAGCTATCATTTGTGGCCAGGTCGCTTCTGAATAAGAGCTACATAGCTCTGTGGGCCTTACCTGGTAAAATACAAATATTGTTTTAGTTTTTGGTTCTATTCGGTAAAGTCACGTAGGTAAAAAAATGAAACAACAAAAATCACGACGTTTCGGCCACAACACAAGCGGCCTTCATCAGGTGAAGAGACCAACCTGTCCAGCGGGCAGGGTTGGTCCAACCTGTCCAGCGGGCAGGGTTGGTCCCTTCACCTGATGAAGGCCGCTTGTGTTGTGGCCGAAACGTCGTGATTTTTGTTGTTTTAATTTTTTACCTACGTGACTTTACCGAATAGAACCAAAGAGTATGGATCCTTGCAGTCACGAAAGCTTCAAATCTAGAATTGTTTTAGTTTATTTGTGTTTAAAGTTGCAGATATGTTAAATCGCTGTCATAAAGCAACGTTATCCCTATTTAAAGCTTTCGTGACTGCAATGATTCATCTTCTTTGGTTCTTTCGGTAAAGTCACGTAGAATGAGAATAAAATAATAAATTGATGAAGGCCGCTTGAATGAGAATAAAATAATAAATTGATGAAGGCCGCTTGTGTTGTGGCCGAAACGTCGTGAGAATATTATTGTGTTATTTTATTTTATCAATTTATTATTTTATTCTCATTCTACGTGACTTTACCGAAAGAACCAAAGAAGATCAACTTTATCCCTCCATCAAGTGTTATATATCTTTAGCATAAATATGATTTAGGCAACAGTGCCAAATTTGAGATGCAGTTCTTTGATATGCTGTACTGTGACTGTGTTTAATGACAACATATGTTTCTACATTAATACAAAACATCCTTAGTGCATCCACAATAGAGGTTTTTTGGGTTAGATCGCGTAAATATATAAATGTGTCGTTAAAACCCGCCACCACCCGACACAGCCAACTAGTAAGGGTTGTCACATAAACAGAACGTGGCCAATTCGTCACTAGTACAGCACGCCGGTGTGTGGAGAGCCAAGCCACAACGTTTACAATCTGAGTACGACGTTTCGCCAGTAATTATAACTAGCTTCATCAGACGACACTAGTACAGCACACCGGTGTGTTGGCTCTCCAACACACTACCGGTGTTGCTGTACTAGTGACGAATTGGGCCACGTTCTGTTTACGTGACAACCCTTACTAGTTGGCTGTGTCGGGTGGCGGCGGGTTTTAACGACACGTTTTTAAACATCCTTAATGCAATTATAAACTTCATAAATAATTGAACGGCCACAAAATATCTGCAGAACGTCAGGGCAACAAACGCGGCGGCCACCACTGAGTGTGTATATACTGCGGGTGTTGTTGCACTCTGGAAAATGTTGACGGTTCTTTACGGAAGCGTCCAGATGTGGAACCGTGCCTTAAAGTTTCCAGATCGCATCGACTGACGCCGCGCGTGGACAAGTCGCGTCGTAATTCTAGAAGCCTGTTCTAAATCAATCGATCTATTTTTACCTCTGGAAAGGTGACCGTGATGATGTTCCTACAATCTGTTCGACTTTTTGCACCGAAATATCACACAGAGGGGGGTGGTGGTGGTGGGGGTGGCGGCTTTGGCCTAACTCTCGTGAGAAAGTAACGAACGTCAGTGCTTAGCTCGACGATCTTCGGGGTCCACAAAATCGTCACGGTTTGTGGGCCCCTCAAGTAAAAACCCGAACAGGCGCAGTCTTATTTGTATACATAGAGAGAGAGCTGCTTGAAAAATGGAACAACCGAAATGCACGGCCGGTCCCAACATATAAAAATCTTTAAACGCTTCCGCAAGAATTCACAACTGTTACAGCCAGGGAACATTTCATATATATGAACCATTGTGGATTCAACCACATTTAATATGTATTTTTTTTGGAGGGGGGGGGGCGGTTAGGCCCTACGTAATGATCCGACCAGATATTGTATTGTGAAGAACCTGCCCCCCCCCAGCCACCGATCCAACGCAGCCAAACAAATTCAATTGTTGCGCGTAACCTGCAGCGTAAGGGGCGTTTTAAGAAGCCAAACCTTGCCCCTTTCAGCAAGCTCGGCGGCAAAGTTGAAGAACAAATTGTCGGAACAAGATGCAGCTACACTG